GATCAGCAATTGGATGGGATTTTTCAGTAGCAGCGGGACTGGATTCCCACTGAGTGGTAATCGTGGTGACTGAGTAGATGGATTTGAGTCCCAAGAAGGAGCATCTGAACTTTGCAAGCTGGGTTGGGAAGGGCCCGGTGGCGCATAGCAAATAGGGGGAAGACTCTGACTTGCAGACCAATCCATTTCCGAGATGGGCGGCAACAAACTACTTTGTTGGGCTGCAGCAGATTGAATGTGCAACCCAGACATGGGTATATGATCTAAGGGGCTAGCATGGTGGGTTGCCGAAACAAACACGGAAGGAGATGGTTGGGAGCTGTTGGCAGGGGGGTAAGGAGGTGGAGAGGATGGACGGGAAGGGAGCTTAGGTGGACGGATAGGTCTCTTGGAGGGCCGGGGTGGCATGGTGCCGGTGAGAGGAGGGGAAGAATGGGGGATGTGAGGTCAAGTAACCGTTGAGGAGAGTGAAGAAACACTACTTATGACGCAAAATTTAGGTCGGACCCAAAATTTTCAAGTTGGCAGGGAAATATATATCGTTGGCCGTTTCCGTCATATGTGAGTGGATATGACGTGGACTGCTAAACATGCTCGTGAGGCCCCGTCATAAGCTGTGAGCCCCCGAAATATCTGCCATGATCTTTTATTACGATCATGGACGGCCAAACGAGGCCTAAGAACATCAACACAATGAGATCCAACCTCAAACTTGTCTTTCTTCAGCTCGAGTCACACTTTGTTTAGCACAATTGACACCACCTTGTCAATAGCTTTGATTAGAATACTCAAGCTTGATGTTCATCATTCCTTTTTGCACAAAAACAGTTCGAGCTACATGTAGAACAACCTAACCCGTTGAGAAAAAGTCTGGGGAAGCTATTGACCCTCCCGGATGAAATACTCTAGCTACCCTCGCAACTTACCACAACAAATTGGCTCTTCCAACAATCCAATCCTCTACTTGTCATCACAACCTCGCGCTTTAAACCATCGGCACATCCACAAGATCAGGAAACATCCCCAATCTCCACTCACTATATATCTTGCTATCCCGAGGTTGTGGTCTCAACTCTTGAAGTAAATCACCTCATCACCTGCAAACTCAAAGACAACCCATCGGATCCCAATGGATCAGCCAGAGGGAAATACAACCGCTAATGGAGGAACTATCCGTCTCAAGTATCACTTGGTTTAGACTCAATATGTTAGAAGGTCAACAATTTGAAGACTCCCCCGATTCTTTACTATCTATTGTTTAGAGACCAACGGAATTGAGCCTTGATCATCAAACAAACATCGAAAACATCCTAGTTCGTTTCTGTTCAACGAGCAAAAACCACTTCTGTGTCTCTCCTTTCCTTTGGATAACCTCAAATCGTTTTGGGTCATTGGTTGGAGACATGCGGAGTAGAATTTAGGATCACCAAAGGACGTTGATTGTTCAGGACAAATACTCTTCATAACTACGGTTCATCTTCTCGATCGGTACAGGATCAACGTCAGGCCAGTTCAAATTCCTCCGGAGAGCTCCACAGAGTTTGTCGATCTAACTGGTGCCCGAATTTTTGGAGCGTTACTCAACAGCAGAGATTCGTCCAAATAATCAACGATACGTCAATCAACACACCCAACATGTGATTTTTGATATAATCCGATGTACGATCTTTATTGATAAAGACAAGGCCTGATAAGAAACTCGACAACGACGACTCTGACTCTGGGTTTTTCCGACACACCTTTATTGATAAAGACAAGGCCTGATAAGAAACTCGACAACGACGACTCTGACTCTGGGTTTTTCCGACACACCTGCAAGTTTGCAGTTTTGTTTTTGTTTTGATTTGAATGATGATGATGATGGAGGACACGCGTATGACTTGGTCAGTCTTTTTCTCCACTTTGTATTTGAATAAGCGCGTGAATTTTATTGATAATGATAATAAGAAAATTAAAGATGAAATGAAAACAATATATGACTATAGCGAACCTTTATTGATAAAGACAAGGCCTGATAAGAAACTCGACAACGACGACTCTGACTCTGGGTTTTTCCGACACACCTGAACAACAGTTAAGAAAAGAAATAAATGAAAGAAAAGAAGAAGAAAGAATATCGGTCAGATAGAAATATAACAATGATAATGAATAAGAAGACAATTTCATACCTGCAAGTTTGCAGTTTTGTTTTTGTTTTGATTTGAATGATGATGATGATGGAGGACACGCGTATGACTTGGTCTGGACATATGAAAAAGAAAAAACAGAAGAAGAATAAGAAAAGAATGAGATTTAGCTTGTTTGTTTGTTGGTTTGGCGATTTCGAGAAAAGATGCTTACCAGTCTTTTTCTCCACTTTGTATTTGAATAAGCGCGTGAAGAAAAAGACTGGTATCCTTGTTGGGCGAAAAAGTTTTGTTGGAGCGGGGGGGGGAACGGGTCGGTTAGGTTTCAGTTGGTGAGATTCAGATGCGAGTGAGAATTGACGTTGCATATTCAGAATGGAAAGAGGAATTGGATAATTCAACACAACAAACAGATCATGGACATTGCAGTCTCAACTCACGGAGTTGCTCGACCATCAATTGTCCTCACAATTCATACCTCCACTCAGTCCAGCTTACCCAGATTGGTATCTGAGGATTGTGAGCATTGCCTAGACATTTCTTCAGTGGAGGCCTGCTTAGCTGATTGACTTAACATTTCTGTTCATCAGACTTGCTTCTCGATTCTACAGGCTCATCTCATCCTCAAACTGGTCAGTTGACACCACATACCTTTCACTATCCCAACCGGCACAGAGGATTGTCTTACAACTGCTCATGTAGACAACAGTGTGTATTCATCACTTTCTGGTATTCAATCTCTCAAAACAGACTTTTTTGAGCTTTTATTTACATTGCTTGGCTTGCTGCAAGCTCTTAAAACCTCTTGCACAGTTGTCTCTTTTAAATCCAGCATTATAGAATCGCTTTGACTTGGGCTTCAATAGCAAGTAAAACTAAAAGAAATTGGAATCAAAACATGTTGCTGCTCTTGTTCTATCAACAAGGCAGAAGCAACAATCTTCAGCCCACAGTTGGGATTTTAGCATGCTTTGGAGTTGATCATTTAAAGTGATGCGACACCTCATAATCATTGTGGATACCTTACACATTGAAGGTACAACTATCGAGTCAAAGAAGATTCATATCAACAGAGAGAC